ATTGTGGATAGATATTATCACCCACGCCCTGAAGTGACACGATACATGATGAAGAACAAGAGCTTTGGTTGGGACTGGTTTTTTGATGGACCAGACTGAAATCTATGATTAATATTTCTGAAAGTTTTGCTTTTGGAACTGGTCAACAATTCAATTCTGGCTACATTTGAAGAACTGGGGAATATAATGGTGTTAAAACGGTCTAGCGTTGAAATTATACAAGATTACTATAAATGTGAAAAACATTATTTTGCAGAAAGGATTGCTGCCCAGCATCTAAAATATATCAGCTTAAAGGAAACGGAAGAATTTCCCTACACACATTTTGGTAACAACCAAAATGTGGTTAGAAGATAAGACAACAGAAATTACGTTCCGGCAAGGTTCAGGGTTCAGATTTCAGTCCCATAGAAAATTTATGGGTTCATATTTAGCAGAAAATGGTTGGAGGGAAGATTCCAAATGCAAATCAATTCTGGGAAGCCAACAAACAGGAATGACATGTCCAGATGTAGGAAGCTTTCTGTAAGTATGAACAACAGACTTGAATGCAGAGAGAAATCTAAAAGACATGCAATTCCATATTGATTATACGGAGACTTCCTGACGTTTTGGTTTCTTCAGTTTTCTTTTATGCGTTTGCCATTAAGAAAAATATCCAAACGCTGCTTCAGCTGCTTTTAGATTGTAGCTCGCTAAATATCGATCTCTGACAAGCGCAAATTTACATATTTACTAAGTTGAGATGTGTGTCTAATACAAAACCACAATACTGAAGTACCCACTAGTAGGGCTAAAACACTCGAGGCTGTCAAAATAATGTAAAAAATATACATTACATGCAAAAAATTGGAAGATGCATTTCTTTAATTAAAAACATCATAAAATGAAATATGTTTTGTATTTTTTTCAGTGAAGGATAACATTTCTGTAACTACAGTATATTTGTTTTTATTTTTTAGTCTTTCCCCAGGCTGCCTTTACTACCAAAATGTTTAAATTTGGTTTCGTCTGTCCACAATTTTACTAAATTATGAATATTTTGTATGAGAAAAATTGTATTTTGCTTTCCTCACTAACCCCTCCTTTTGTGATGACTAAAAGAGCTGGAGATTTGTTTCAAGTCAAGAGAAACATGAAAAAAGAACAATATCATTCAATATTTCAAAGAGATGCTATACTATTCTGGTTTACGCATAACTGGAAAAAATTCACAATTCAACAAGACAACGATCCAAACGTCTCTTGTAAATTATGTTAACAATCCATCAAGTCAATAAAAAGTAACAAAATTTTAAAAATTATGACTTGTCCACCTCAGTTACCTGCCCTTTTTCCCATTGAATTAGTATCGGATGAATTGGATAGGAGAGTTCGAAAAGTTTAGATAGAGTCTTGTTGATGAAAACAGAATATAATGCTGTTGTATGATAAACTTTTATAGTTAAGTATTTGTTTTTGTCAAAATAAAAGTAAATAACCATTCTCCGGTCTGGACTTAATTGCCAGAGGCTGTTTGGACACAATGCCACGGAAACATTTTATAGACACCGGGAGCTTGTCCCCAGTCACCCACGGCTATGACAAGCTTGGGAAAATATATAACGTGCGTATATTATTTATTATATTAGATTAAAACAAAGACATGTTAAAAATTGCTACACCATAGCTTTCATGTTTCAGCACTAAAATTGTGCCTCCTCAGGTGATGGTGAATAACTGGCGAGTAAAAAAATTATTTTTAAATTTCAAAAGCAGATAAATCAAAATTAAAATTAGGCTTTTGCTCTACTCTATATTGAGCCCTTTTTTAAAAAGTTAAATGCTACAGACAGTGGAATTATACTCGATTTGTTCTTATCTCATACCTGGATAATGTACGTATATATACATTGCGTATTTGCTCATAATTTCCTAATGCTTATATTAATAACTAGCTCATCTGGTGGCAATTAAGCAAGCTTCTGTGGATGGCTTCATGTTTGCATATTCTCAGTGGATGCTCTCCTGGCTGCCGTTTGATCTGGGTTTTCATTTGTGTTATGGGATCTTACCTATTAATAACATAATGGACTATTCCATACGTAATAAATACTGCGCCTCAAGAGGAATCAGGGAGTTCAGTCCGAAGTCGGGCGACCGGCTGATCGGTTGATCGGTTGAACTCTCTGCCTTCGGGCGGTGATGAAACCCGAACGAGGCTACGCCGAAGGGCGGAGTCTCTTTCGGGGAGGTAAACCGATCCTGACCTCGTTTATACGGGTTCAAAGGGCATATTTTTGGCCGAGCCCACGGGCTCGGAGATCCCACTTTAAACCGGCCTTGTGCCATATGATGCCCTCGTGGGGTGGGGTTGGGTGATTAAATACTGTTCAGTCTGATGTCTGGAGTGAAGTCCATCAGGAGTCAGTCAGTCAGTCAGTCGGAGTGAGTCAGTCAGTCGAGTCAGCGGCAGTCCGAAACAGAGTCGCGATCAGACAATTACTACAAGACATTGGAATAGTGATACTGTTCGAGACTACATTGTTCTCCCTACTACCTGATTGTTCGTACTAACATTTTCTATTTCTCTCTATAGATTCCTGTTTGTAATATATCTGTGTTATTCCATATCCGTGTTCGAGTTCTTTATTGGTTCTACCTTGGACTATCACCGTGGTACAAGGAACCGGACCATAACAATTTGCAAGGGACTTTCTTTTCCTCGCTGCAGGCTTGGATCTCTTGATTGCAATCTGGTCGTCTGTTCACGGAGATTTCTTTTTACGAGGCATACCGCTGCCGGATGCGATAGGCAACAATAAACTACAGAAGAACTCAAAACTAAACGCCACATTTAAGTGCTGCATTAATATTTAAGCTTACCTTTTAAAAGTTCAACGATAATTCTTCTGTCGCCACTTAATTTTAAAATAATTTGGTGTACGTAGGTCCTTAGTTTTCGTACAAACAATTATTTTTATTTCATGAGTGACTTTCGTTGGATTTCGAAATTAATTATTCCTAAGTTTATTTCCAAGCTATAAAATTGTTATCGTACAAAAAAATTTGTCGCAAAAAGTCACGTAAAAATCACCGAATACAATTGCAGTAATGAAAACTTGAGAATCCAAGATGTCAGGATTGCGGCTCAGGATCCAGACCAGAATGTTTTTAATTTGCTCAAGGAGTCGGCCTGATTCTAAAATGGTATTATATTTTGGGCTACGTCCTCAAGGAGTAAAGTTGAAAAGGTGTGACACACTGACATTAGCATTTATTTATATAGATAACAATTACTTCATCAAAATTAAACACTTTTCATTTGTTTAAATATCTATAGATTCAAGGAAATCTAATAAAACAGATTATTTTGACCTATTTAGATAATCTTATTAAAAAAAACCTTTCAGCTCCGAAAATTTTTAGTAATGCGAAATATCAGACGACAACAATGCTTATTATTAAGAACGCTGTAGGTTTCTAAATTTCGATTGAATTTTGACTAGGCAGATAGTTTTTTTTACAATGATGTTCCCCCCTGTACATGTCCCAAGAGCCTTTAGTGTTAGAGGGTTACAGAATAAGTAGTACAATTTATAGGGATATGTGAGGAAAAATAATGGTTGACCCTACACTTGAACAGGTTAACATTGATCCAGGAAGTATAATCTATGTAGCGATTATAATATAAATAATGCTTCGGATAATTGCCGTGACGCCTGTATTAATTAGTGTGAAGACTGACTCCAAACAGCTTTTCTACTCTTAACGTTGACCCGACATTTCAACCACCTGAAGAAGGCCGGAGCATACAACGGCCGAAACTTTGTGATAAATATGGCAACAAAAATGAGGAAAATAGTCCGAACAATGTAAATAGTGTACATAATACCTCATCTCAGAAATATAGACAGATACGTTTTTATTTTTTATATCATTTCACTCCAAGCAAGATTATAAAGACACTAGGACACAAGGGGGTACTGAGTGTTAGAGAATATAAGAACAACGACTATTAAGAAGAAAGAACATTAAAAGAACAAGAATTATGAAGACAGTAGATAACGATTGACATTGCATTTAAATTTTTGAAGATCAAAATTGACTGGGAAACAAGAAACCGGAAGAGATTTCCACAAGCGAGAAGTGTGAGATAAGAAACTGTTAGCACATTATGATGAGTATTTTGTATCAGCCAAATAGATTGATGTACTAAAATACATGGAATTGTTGATTGTAACTTGTAGGATGCCATCTAGCACGGCGAAGTGCAGTGGACTGATATGTCACCGATTCCACAAGTGGTCTGAATACCAATGGAAAGACGGTGAGTTATGCCGTCTTCATACAGCTCTTTAACAATTTCAGGTAAATCAACTTGCACACAAATATTTCTCACCACTCCATGACATAAATTTTTGTTCGGACTCATGGCGGACGAACGTGGCGTCAATAAGCAGCCTCCTTAAACCAATATGGGCATCTTCGGTCCGATGATACGCTGAATTATCCGGCTCGCCCAACCCTTCGGTTTTGAGGTACATCGAATCTACAAATAGCTGCAATTGGTCCCTAATCAATACATGGTAGCAGACAATGGTCAACGATGTGCTCAATCAGACCAAGGAACCCAACCCATACAGTTATGGAAATACCATCATCTTACACGGTCCATCATTGGAAATTGAAGCCTATGGTATTTTGAGGTCTTTGCCATACTCAAACCCTGCCATCAGCTCAACACAAAACACCACAACATAGGTTGACATTCCTGCAGGGTTCAATTACATTACGTTACGAGCCCAGGTTAAGAGCTGTGTCCGGTGTCCTGGAGTAAGCAGGCATACCCTGGTTGGTGGACCTTCTGATACTATATCCCGTCGAAGCTAAAGAACGGTGCAATAACTTGCTGTATATGAGTCTGGGACACCGTCCACTGAACGTGTATATGATTTGAGTCAGTGTTGCGTGTCCGTCTGCTATGGCAGACAATTCGAACGAGATGCCACAGTACACGATCAATAAATGCGGAATATGGAGGGACAGAAAATCTCTATGATAGATAGATAGATAGATAGATAGATGCCTTGACTGATATAGTTAGATAAATAGAGAGCTAGAGGGTGAGAAAGAAACTGGATAGAATAAAAGAAAACAAGGTTGTAAAAAATATAAAAAATAATAAATAAATACAGAAGTACAGAAGTAAAGAAAGAAAGAAAGAAAGAAAGAAATAGGTCGAAAGAAGAATTAAATAGCGCAGTGAAATGGAACAGAGTGAAAAAAAGGGGAATGAAAATCAAAGAAAATGAAAAAAATAAAGTAGACAGATGACAGGAAAAGAAAGAAAAAAGGAATAAAGAGGGACTAAAATAGAGAAAAATGAGAAAAAAGAGAGAACGAATTGAAAAGGGAACGTAGAAAAAAGAGAGAAAAAAGAACAGTGAATGAAATGAGAGATAAAGAGAGTGGAAATGAGTAGAGAGATAAAGAGAGTGGAAATGAGTAGAGAAATAAAGAGAGTGGAAATGAGTAGAGAAATAAAGAGAGTGGAAATGAGTAGAGAAATAAAGAGAGTGGAAATGAGTAGAGAAATAAAGAGAGTGGAAATGAGTAGAGAAATAAAGAGAGTGGAAATGAGTAGAGAGATAAAGAGAGTGGAAATGAGTAGAGAAATAAAGAGAGTGGAAATGAGTAGAGAAATAAAGAGAGTGGAAATGAGTAGAGAGATAAAGAGAGTGGAAATAAATAACAAAAAATAAAGGAGGAAAAGGAAAATGAAATTATATTTGGAAAGACAACGAACAAGTTGAAAAAGGAAAGCCTTACGTTTAGCTACAAATACGCAAGAGACACCGAATGAGGATCGAACTCCCAACGCTGAGACTTGTTTGCTACCTATTATCAACTGAAAAAGCCCTTTCCTTCTCAGCGAGAGACTGAAATAAAGAGAGAAATATTAAGAGCAAAATAAAAACTAATTCGGATGCTCAGTAAAAAGAATTAAAAGTGAAAATTCGAAAGAGAGATATTCCATTTTAACGAAAAAAAATTCAATATCTACCGAAGAAGAAGATACGTTTAATTTAAAAAATGAGGACAAAGGAAATGTTCAAGACGAAAGATAGATAGAGAGAGAGAGAGAGAGAGAGATAGAGAGATAGAGAGAGAGAGAGAGAGAGAGAAAAGTGCAGATGTAAAATAGACACACCGCTTTTATACCCCTTAGGGTGTAATTTAGCCGTAACATATGCCCACGTCTTAGTGACATTTCGAATGCATCAGAGGTTCCTGATAATATCAACAAAGAAACTAGAGTTGTTTTCTACCTTTATTTGTTTTCCTTTTGTGTCATTTAATGAGCCTAGGGCTGCCATTTTTGCCAAAATATTTTTTTATTTAAATCGCTTGAGGATCTTTGAACGGAAAACGAAGTTGAAAAATACAAAATTAAGATTTAAGAATTTGATGAAATTAGATTCTAACAACAATAGCAGATTTTTGCTGTCTGCATCTCTGTATATTTTTCTTAGTATATTATCCGTCAAAAACGATGAACTTCTTTAAATAGTGAGCGGGACTTCGGCAAAGAATCATATCTGGGTGCATTGATTAGGATCAAAATTCTGACCATTAGCCCTCTACCTAGAATCAGAGGTTAGTATTTTTGGGAGCAATGTTTGGTATCAACAGCAACATTACCTACTTCATTTTTTATATTGATTACATTTTTTTTACTACCAAGCTGTGATCGAAATGCTCAAGTAGTTACTATTTTCGGGGCAAAATAGTGTATTTATTTAGGTAACTAATTTTATTATAATAGTTGTGAAATATACCGACTGCTAGTCGGTTTCACCCTAATCGTCTCAGTATTTCAAGAGACTCAAATATGGAAAGCTATGGAGGTCAGATGTTTAGTGAGATGTGACGTAAGCAGGAAAATTATCGACCACCCACTCTTTGGTCAATGGACTACCTGGAGAAAGCAGAGGTTTGATGAAAAAATGTACGACAACCTCCTCAGTCCCCATCCTGATTGCCGTGTCTATCCCTCCTGTTTAGAGGATGGCATTGGCTCTGATGCAATAAAACGTAGAGAGTCATGACATTGTCCTTTTCGCTCAAGACCCCTGGGACGATCAGTGAGAATGTGATTTTTATATTCACAACTATGGTTATTTTTGCCGAGGCCACGCAAATCTCCGGTTCCCCTGACCATTTACAAGACGCTAGCAATCTCTGAGTCTCTATGGTTGGCCGCTGCTGCCCCGAGCACGTGCGTCTTTCATTTCCTATGCAAGATGAGAAGCTGTTCTCTTAATTCTCTCGATATATCCGAAAGAGAAATAAAGAAATTAAAATTTGAAACAGTACGTAACATTGCGTCTTCTCGTTCTGGCTTGCTAAAGGTGTCCTGAAATACTTAGCACAAGCTTTCCTTCTCTTTTAAAACACATACACATATATATATATATATATATATATATATATATATATATATATATATATATATAT